TAATTTTCTCCAAATGTGATGCTGTACAGTGTGGCCAATCACCTCCACTTTGGTCTCATCTGTCCGAAGGGCATTTCTCAAGAAGTCTTGTGGTTTCTTCAGATGAAACTTTGCAAACATAATCCATGGTGCAATGCCAAGATCTGTGTCTTTTTAAGTCTGTAGGGTTGATTTTGAATACATGCTGTAGTTGGTCTTCCACATATGTACTAAATGGGCTACATACCCAACCTGTTGTAAAAATGTAAATACTTTAGGATTGTCCTTGAAGTTACTTAAACTCTGTTAAAGTTTTACATTTCTCTCATTGTTTACAAATAAATAAATAAATAGAAAGATCAAAACCTTCAAAATTGAAAATAATTGCCTGTGTTTCTGTAGCTTTGCACAGTGTCTCTTTGTTTTCGGTGCCACAGAGCTCCATTTATTTATTTACTCTGCTGTAATGCTCACATTCGCCAAATCAGAGGCTGAAAATAGTCTTTAACAAAACGCACGATTTTCCTCCAGTTTGAAAACCATTCAAACTGTTGAGTTTTTGCTTAAAAAAGAAAAAAGAATAGATATGTGTTTACCCTGTTTTATGGATGTAGTGCTTTTAATTGGATTGACAAGCTGGGTACGTTGGAAGGCATTAAGACCTTTTTTGTCTTTTGATGCTATGATGTTTGTTGATGATGATGAAGCACTGATGAAGCTGTAAATGTGTGCAACCAAATTACTTTCTTTAATGGTTCCTATTAAATGATGTGTTATGATGCGTCTGTATTTTGTTATTTTATCCATTTATATCCTCCCAACCAGTCAACTGCATCCAGAGGATGAGACGGACGCCGCCACTGGATGAGCTTCAGCCACCGCCCTATCAGGATGAGAATGGCTCTCCGAGGATGTCCTGCACCCTGTCAGATCTGGGTGATGCCAAGTGTGATCTGTCCCACACCAGCGGTAGCCCCCACCTCTCTTTCGGCAAGTGTCCCAGTGAGGGCAGCGACGGCCCTGAGACTGAGAGTTACCTCAACAAGGGCTATGAGGAGGACGTGCCCAGTGACAGCACAGCTGTCCTCAGTCCGGAGGTAAATACCAGTCATGTAATATCAGAGTGATACTTTAGATTGAGGTGTTATTTTGAACACTGAACATTTCATTGGTTTGCGTAGGATATGTCAGCCCGTGGATCAGCAGCCCAGCTACCGAAAGGTTACGAACCAGATCCTGTTGCAAAATACGGGACCCTGGACATCGTGTTTGACTACGACTCAGAGGAGCAGCAGCTGTCTGTAACCATCATGGCAGTCACCGACCTTCCCAGCTACAAGCGCACCGGTAACATCTCCTGGCAGGTTCATCTGGTGCTTCTGCCCACCAAGAAACAGCGGGCGAAGACGGGGATCCAGAGAGGCCCGTGCCCCATCTTCACGGAGACCTTCCGCTTCAGCCACGTGGAGTCAGAGATGATCAGCAATTATGCTATCAGATTTCGCCTTTACAGCATGCGACGAATGAAGAAGGAGAAGGTGCTCGGGGAAAAGGTGTTCTACCTCACCAAGCTCAACCTTCAGGGCAAAATGTCGGTGCCGGTCACATTAGACCCATGCTGTGCACTCCCGGTAAGATGATCAACGCAGGTGTTGGCTTTCAAGCTGCCACTCATCACCTCGCTAATTACTTCTCTTTGTTGATTGATCTTTCATCTAGCTGGATAACATTTTCAGAGTGAGATCACATTTTGCAGATCATTCTTACTGAACTGCCTGTTTTGTTTGCTTGTTGGCTTTTAATGCTTCTCAGGAGTCGATGGTAGTGCGACACTGGCTCCATTTCATCTTAGGGAATAAACAATAATCAGTTTACTTATTTTTTTCCTTTTGCTCACTTTCAAAGGCTACAAAGAAGAAAGGCAGCCTTAAAAGGCACCTACAAATTTATCCTGCATCGAATCTGTCAGATATTAGTTTTCTTTCCCTTTAGTAACAATATTTTTATCTATGTAGATATCCAGGTGTTGAATTAACCCAATACAGCAACATTCAGTGCTTAATTCACTGAACATAAGATAACTAAAAATGTAAAGAGTATTTTTAGCCTATCCAAAAACACAAGTCCTTAAGTATAAAGAAAGATGTGCATTACGTAACCTTCAAATGTTAGCTTGCCCAGCGTAATACAGGCTCCTTTTTTTAGCGGGTTAGCTATCTGTTTGGAGTTATCATATTAAAATCTTCCCTGAATCTGGTTTATTTTCCTCACGGTTCTTCTCCACGGCCAGCTTCTGGCCTAGTCCAGCTTCCTCACTCTCTGATGACTTTATGAGCTCAGTCGACAGTTTGAGGTAATAATGAATCAAATGCAAAGTTTATTTTGTAAATGTTGCTATTATTAGTGTTCAAAAGTAGGATTATCCTGGTTAAGCCGTTATCCACTGAGTGTGATTTCAGCAACAGATCATTAATCCCACTCTGGCTACCACCATATTTTATATCCAAGTTATAGTGGCTAGTAGGGATGCACCGATACCGATACTGGTATCGG